TTATTATTTAAAGATTTAATATAAAAAATTGTTTGAATATTCAATGTATTATGTAAATTTTTTAAAAAATAATTTTTTATTGATTTAAATCAAAATAATAAAAAAGGTTATTGAAAAATTGGAATAAACTTAATCTTCGTAATTTTTGTACATGTTGAAAATTTTTTATAACTAAATAATTTTTTAAATAAAATTATTTGGTAAAAAATTAAAAATTATTTATTATAAAGATAAAATTCATTGTTCAAAATTTTAATTTTAAAAAATGTATTTATAAATTGATTAGATTTTCAATTATAATTTCAATAATTTTAATATATGAATAAATTTAAGATTATTTAATTTGTAACTAAAAGAAATTATCTTACTTTTTTTAAAAAATTATCTTATGTATTAATAAAAAAATTTTGCATATCTATGTGGCAGACTTTATTAGATGTTTCTGATGCAATATCTATATATATATATATATATATATATATATATTTATGTTGGGGTTTGTTTGTAAGACCAAAGAACGTGCCCGGAAAGCGGCGTGGATGGCACGTCAATTGATGGACCTCATCCTTAGACTGATGCTTTTTTTTATCCTACTTTTTTCTTAATTATTTTGTTCTTTACCAGCCTAAATGGTGATGAACTTACTCTCTTTTTGCAAGAGTCACGACTATGGAATTTTCTTTGTTTAACGAGTTGAACTTTTTTCTTTTTTGAAAGAGTCACGACAAAGAGTCGAATTTTGATTCAAAAATTGAGACTTGATGGAATCTAAATTTTTTGGTTTAAAGAGTTGAATTTTCTCTCTTTTACAAGATTCACAACCCGTTGAAATTTAATTTATTTTTTGTTTAAAAAATCGAATTCAAATTTTTTGATAAAAAAAACTGAGTCGAGCTTGCAATTCTAATTTCTTTATATTGTGCATGCTTGCTCTAAAAATATGTATTCAAATTTTCACAAGAATAATTTCTATTAAATTCCTGTAAATTAATGAAATCATGCTCTGGAAATATATATATATATATATATTTAAATTCATGACAGGGCCAAAGGAAGGTAGCATTCCTAAAACTTTTTTTTATAAATGATATCATAATTTGATAATAAAAAAATAATTGTAAGTATTAAAATTTAAATCTTAAATCTATTAAATATTACATTTTATATATGTTAGACGAAGTAATTAAGCTATCTACTAGTGAGATCAAATCTAATCAGGAAAAAATAATCCCTACTGGAGGCTGTCCACGTTGTGAAAAAGAAAAAGAATCGGTGCTGCATACTATACGAGACTACGCTGCAGCAAAGGTTTGGTCAAGTATAGGGATCAGTTGGGAGGGGGAGACTGACAATCTCCACGTCATGGCAGACTGGATGCTAAAGGTGGCAGATCAGGCAGAGGCCAATACTTTGTGTTTCTTACAACACCTTGGGCAATACGAAACAACAGGAATGTGGAGATGCAGGGAGGAACCAAGAGGAGCCCCGAATAAACAACACGCTTTGTGTTGTCATACTTAGAAGAGTTCAAAGCTGCTCAAGGAAAAATTGTAGTACAGTGTAACAACATAAGGGCATTCTGGATATCGATGGCGCCGCCTGAAAGGGTGATAAAGGTGAATTTTGATGGGGCTTTTAACAGAAACCTTCGAGCTGGGGGAATGGGGGTAATAATAAGAGACCAGGAAGGGGAAATAATAGATGCTTTAGCAGCTGCCAAATTACAAGATATTCATGATGCTTGGATGATAGAAAGCTGGGCAGTTGTTAGAGCTCTATTATTGGCTAAAGACATGCGTTCGGAATCATTAAAAAACTGGAAAGTGCAGAGTTTGATTTCTTTCCATGTGCTATAATACTAGATGAAGCCCAAATGCTCATAAGAACAATGCAGAGTTGCCAGATAAGGCACGTCAGACGCGAGGGCAATATGGCAGCACACAATCTAGCAAAGTATGAGGAACAGTTAGAGGAATATGTAATATGGGTGGAGCTAGGGGTGAGAAAAAAAAATCAAGAAATTCGAAAATCGATTTGAAATGTAGTATTTAATTTGATTTGGATCAATTTTTTTTAAATTGGATCAAATTTGTATATTAAATATATATACATATATATTAAGTTCAAATCAAATTTCAGATCAGAAGGTGTAAAATCGAAAATGTTGAACCGAACCAAATTATATATATTAATTTATATATTTAAATTTTTTATAAAAATAAAAATAATAATTTTATATTAAAATTTACTTAAATATATTAAAATTTTGTATTAATATAATATGTAAAAATTAAAAATTAATAAACTAAATCAAAAAAATATAGTTCAATTTTAATCGGATCGAATGAAAGTTTTAATTTAAATTTTTAAAATATTATATAATATCGAAAAAATCAAATCAAATCTAATTCGAATTGAATTGTAATCATCCTTAGGAGGAGGAATGTTTAAAAATTAAAAAAGACTCTAGCAATTCACATTAATCCAAAAGATATTTCCTTTCAAAAAAAAAAAAAAAAACCTATATCTTCATAGACAAACCAAAACACTTCAAGTCAGAAAATTTCAACCTTGATATGACAAAGTCATCTTTTCTTTTTCTTTTTTTTTTTAATAAGCGAGGTTATAACCTAGACAAAAAATTACAAGTGCAATGATAGGACCTTAATCGTACAAAAATCCACCAATAACCAATTTGGGTTAGGACCCATTTATTTTCCTTTTTAACCATACTACCTAAGCATCCGAAATTTCTAAGGCATTGCAACTCATGACTTGACCCATGATCATTACGGATTAGGACATGGGAAAAGCCCAATTGGCATAATTTTATGATAGTTCAGGTAATTGACGTGATAGTCATTTGATTTCTCTACGTAATTAAATAAAAAAGGCAGAAAATATATAACTTGGAATACAAAATAAGTTTCTTAAAATGCCAATTGGTTCCAACCCTACTAGCTGACATTTGATTTGACCATTGAAAGTGTGGATAATTGGTTAAGATAATTGTAATTTGTTGAAATGCCAATATATTGATTAAAAGATATATAGAATTTTCTATTTATCATAGTTTGATCAAGTTTACTTCAATATTTCCTATGGAACCAATTAGTAGATTATAAGTTAAAACCAAACATTATAAGACAGGTAACAATTTAAGAGAGGATATAAAGTTTGTGGGGAGAAAAAGAATTTTCCACATTGCCAATACTGATTTTAAGTTTATCCAACTCAATGTAAATAATTCAGTCAAAACAAAAATTAAATGAAAAAAATCGAATATTTATATAAATTTTCATCTATAATATATACACAATGAAAGATAAATAGACAGACAGATAGATTAAAATAGATAGAGAAATATATTAAAACATATTAATAATATTAATATGTTTTATACAAAATGTGGATGGCGAGATAGAATCCTTTGTTGGTTTGAACAGCAAAGGCAAGAGTGCAACAGTGAGCCAAGAAAGGCCAGCCATCTTAATTTTCGTGTTTATGGGAACCTTAAAAACGTATCTAGCATAAACATTAAGTAGTTAATGTTTGCTAATTACAGATAGGAAGCTATATATTTCATAAATATAATGAGAGCATATTATTTATATGGCTAAAATAGCTTTTATTCATGTATTGAGGTTGAGAAGAGAAATATATTGCTAGGAATAATACCTAAAAAAACCCTCAAATTTTACTAAAAATTGAAAACCAACCCTCGATTTTTTTATTACATGAAATTAAAGTTATGAAAATTTATTTTTTTATAATTATATTAATTAAACATTTTCTATAAATTACATCATCCAACTATATTGAAATAAAAGTTTACATTTGTATTAGCATGAATATGACCATGCTTAATAAGCATATATATTTGATTAAAAAGTGGTATGTGGCATATATTCAAATATAATTGTTTCATATCATTTTGATATGTAAATAAATATAATTTCTTCTATATAAAATTGCTTTTTATTATTAAAAAGTTTTATTCATTTAGAAATATTAATAAGTATTTATTATTGAATCAATACATAAGCAAAAGGTAACCAAACAATCCTAACCTAACTTGAATAAATCAAGGATGATTATATCATCTATATTAGATAATATCTCATTATAGTTTTTTTTTTAATTATTATCAAAATAACGAGATAATTTATATAACTTTTGGATCTAATGTAAAATAAATTAATAATATAATAAATAAAAGTATCATATTTAATTACTTATTTATATAATTGAAGTTGTTATATGTATGACACTATTGAAAATTTTTTCTGGCTAGTGGCTACCTCGTTCGATGGAATAGACTAGAAATCATCCTTTCATATTTGTTAAGGATTTGGACCAGAGTTGTCAAGGATATTTATTAAATACAAAAAATAAAAAATGTTATTGATAAATTTGTTAAATAAATCATTATCCATTCAAACCAAGCTATAACCTCTATCCAAATCCTACCAGCTCTAACCATTTGAGATAAGATTTAGTAAAATTGAAAGAAGAAAAGTATAGGAGAGGTAGACTAAAACACCAAAAAGTATTAATCCTCCATTTTATTTCTAATTCTTTTATACGAAAATCTTTCTCTATTATCCATTTTTAAAATTTCATTTTGAAACCATTTTAGTTTTCATTCCTGATTTAGTTTAGCGTCATTTAAAAAAATAAAGATAGCATATACCGAAATTTGAACTTTAAGTCAATTGAATGTCATTTCTTAAGATGGTTTGCATGAACCTTAAAATCCGAGTTCATTTATTTTTTCTTCTACAATTAAAACACACTTGAAAAATACCAATAAAAAGATTGAATGATATTACATATATATTGCCAAAACAAAAATCTTATAGTACTCACTTCTTATTCCAACATCACTGCATATAGTGCACAAACTGAACTATTTTAGAACAAAAAATGAGCAAATTAACGAAAAAAAAAAGATGTTTGGAGTACTGGTTTTCCTTTTAATCTCGTTGATGCTTAATAGTATTTCGTTTCATGGGCACTTAGGGCCACCTTCCTTTGTTTTGATGTTGTTGTAGCATGGACATTCCTCCTTATTTCCATGTGTACCAGAAGGAACACACAAACATCTCTTGCAGCAATAGTTGCAGAAGAATAAACATGGCTTCTTGTGAGATGTAGCCGAACACCGATCCTCGCACGCCTTTGAGCACTCTGAAACAATCATATGGGAATTTTTAACTCCACAAGAGGAATAATTTCCATTTTTTTGGAATCATGTCTCAAGTCCAATATTTATCATGCAAATTAAACAAAACTTACTGATTAAGTTCTTGCTGATCCTCTTATAAGTAGACATAAGAAAATGTAACTAAGAAATAGCGAATGCAATGAAAACAGGCATTGTACCTTCAAGTTTAAGAGATCCTTCCCCACCAGCCTGTAGAAATGAAACAAACTTGATATTAGGTTTTTTTTATCAATTTTCTACAAATAGTGAAAATTGCCAGCTTTTAAAAGGAAGAAATTAACATATGAATTCGAAGAAAGACACACATAATTTATAATTAGTAATAATTGCTGCATAAAAACTTAATCCCTTTTGAAAAATTAGTAATAATTGTTACATCAAGTCTTATTGTTCTGTCAATTTCCTTATACTATTCATATATATATATATATATATGAATGAGTAAAATAACAAAAATCAATTAAAAATCGTAATATTCGGATTGAATTGTTATCATCCTCATGTGTTTGTTATAGAAAAGGAGAAAAGCGCATGCACTTACTGTTTGAACGGTAGAGGCAAAAGTAAGGAAGAGAAAGAAAGCAATAGGAACCCAAGAACTCCTAGCCATTTTAAACTTTTTTTTTTTTTCTGTTTTTGCAAAGTGGAAATGTAGGGGAAGTGATTTCTATTTAGGAAATTTTGTGTTTACTGTTCTGAAACAATCAATAGTTCATGTTTACATATATATTACAAGAGACATGTCAAAATCCAATGCTGTATTTTTAGTAAAATCTCCAATTATGGATTGCTTTCCTGTTTTTCAAATATTATAGAAATCATTTTGGATATATTTATTCAGATACAGATTTGTTTGACAACTAGGTTTCTTCGTATTGCATTTGGCACATTTACTTATTTCAACTTTGCTAAGTTAAAAGGAATATTCTTTTCTCTCTTATTTATTTATATATATATATATATAATTGGTATGAGAATATTGTTCCTTTCACATTTGATTTACGTGCAGATTAAGCAAAAAAGTATTTTAATTTACTTGTAACAATGAATATATATACTTTTGTAACGATTTTTATCACATTTATCAATAGTGTATAAGATATTATAGTTTTACTTAATAAATTATTTAAATTTAAAATCAAAATCTATCCAAGATTTAAATTTTTTATTTAAAATTTTGTATAAATTTTGAATTCAAACATATCACATTCAGAATTTATCTTTTTTTTTTTTTAATTTAACCGAATTCCAAGAATATATATTATATATATAACAAATTTGAATGCATTTCTTGATTAAAATTGATTATATTTTTTTCTTAATATTTGAATTTGAAAGATAATTTCTTTTTTTAATTCTCATATCATTAGATTTTTTTTTAAATCAAATTTAATTTGAAAATTGAATACATTTAAAATTTAATCCAAAACCACAACCTTATAAATCGGTGTATATCTCCAGCTTCTCTCAGATTTCTATCCCTAGGATTTTTCACTTTGAAACTTAGAATTTGATATATTGTGCTTTTCTTGATCTCACTTAATTTTAGTTTTTTTTAAGAAATAAAACTACTTTTTGGTAAACAAAAAAGTTGCTTAGATTTAACATATTTTGGCATCCAAAATTTAAACTCAAGTTTAACAAGCACATATATATATATATGCAAACAAATTAATATGCTTAATATAAACTCAAGTTTAACAAGTTTAAAAAGCACATATACGAACAAATTAATATGCTTAATATAAAAAAATAAATAAATATGTGAGAAATGGGGAAGGTCTCTAATTTAACTTTCATCGTATATAATTTTATATTCATTTAATTTTTTAATAGATGTGTATTAATATGTCATCATGAGTAACAAATATATATTTTAAATAATAAATCTAAATTACTAGAAAAATATATGCAATTTAAAAAATAAATTTAATATGTACTAAAATTTATACCAATACTTTTGTATACAACAATTGATCTTAATACATAGTAAATGTATAAAATTATCATGACTGATACCAACCAATTCTTTTGCATAAAATTATCAAAATCAGTAACAACTATTATTTGTAACAATAACAACAAATTTTTGTTGAGTCAGCAAGCTCAAAGATAACTTATATTTCCATCTAAAAACTTTAACATAAGATAAATCATCTTTATTATGATAATGTTGAAATTCCACCAAAAAGTATTTATATGAGAATGAGTTAATTTTATAATTCTAAAATATAATTTTATTATTTTTAAAAGATAAAACCAACTTATTTTCAACCGGAATAGATATATATAGAGTGACAAATTAATGAAACAACCTTGAGTTAATGCAATTCTTTTTCCTTTAAGATACTTTTTTTTGGGATAAATACTTTAAGATATTTTTACTTTCTTTTTCGCTGACAACATTATTCATGGAATGTTAAAATTTTTTAGTTATATCATTTAATTGGATATATGTAAATGTAAAATTTGCATTAAAATTTTCTATTTTTATGTATAATTATATATATATATATATAAATAACCCCATGTATCATACAAGTCACAAAATAATATTAATTATATTTGCATGTTTTCTCCATTTTTTCTGAAATTTTGATGGAGGGTTCAGATTAAGTGAATTTTATTGTCATTTTTAATTATGGTTCTATAATGATATTCACACAATTACTTAAAGTTTATTTAGATAGGTGGTGAGATTAGTTTTGATGAGAATGAAAATAGTGATAAAGATGAGATTGATTACTGTAACGATGAGATTAAAATCAATGATAAATGTCTTCAGCTGCTTGGTTTAATGGTCAAGACAACTTTAAAGAAGACATCAAGGCTGGGTTCGAACTCCAGCTTTCTCCCTCTCTCTTAATGTAGGGCTATGCGTCCGTTGAATGATAAAAAAAAAAAAATCAATGGTAAATATATATTTTTAAATGCAAATACAACAGTGACAATAAAGTGGATTTTAATAAGAATGAAAAATAATCATTAAGAATATTATATTAAAATCATATATAATAATAAATTTTTAAATTATTTAATATTTATAAAATTAATAAATAATTAAAAATTAATAAAAATAATAATACACCGAATAATATTTTTATTATATTAAATTAAAAAATATTTTATTTTTAAATAAAAAATTTTAAAAAGGAAAGATCATTATGAAAAATATTTTTGTAATTATACTATCACATAAAAAAGTGAAAAAAGAAAGTGTAGGAACAAAATTCATCAGTGGCTAAAAACCACTAAATCGTTGAACCAAAGACATCCAAATGGATATCCGGTGCAACAGGGACAATGTTTCGTAACAACTGACATCCAATTGGGGATTCAGTTGATTCTAAAAGGGCCTTTAGTTTTGATGATATTTATTATTTAAAAATTGTCTATTATTTTTTACGGTTAATGTTAATTAAAAATAACCTTGAATTATAGTAAAATTTCATACTTAAATTTAAAAAAAATTTTATTTGATATTTGAATTATAAATTTATTAATTAATATAATACTCACTTTTAATGTAGTTAACTTCAAATAATGATACATAACAAATAAATGACCCTTCAAATACCACATCAATTAATAAATTCATAATTCAATTATCGTATTAGAGATTTATAAAGTTCAGATATTACATTGAATATTTTATTATAATTTAAAGGTTATTTGTGACATTTTTCTTTTTATTAATATAAAAACATATATTTTTAAGTTTGTGAAATCTTTAGTCTAAATAAATAAATAAATAAAAAGAGTGTTAAAGTATACATGCAACAAACTTGTTATGTCACTAATTAATAATATAAGAATATACTCTTTTGTTTTAAAATATTCGTACTTTTACAAAATTTAAACAAAATTTGATTTTAATGTATTTAATATTAAATTATTTTTTTATAAAATTAAAGTTCTATGATTTTTAATATCAAAAAATAAAAAAATCATAAAAATAATTTTAAAATAAAAAGTAAGAATTTTAGATTTTCAAAAAAAAGAACAGATCATAATTTTAAAATATCCCAAAAATAAAAAATGGTTAAAGAAAATAAAATGAATAAAAAAAATGAAAAGGGAGTATTATTTAAATACATAAACACAATGGCGGGGCCACAGCCAATGGGGTCACTTGACGCTTTGAAATTTTGAAGTCTTTAAAATATGCTTATTATTTTAGAAAAAAATTAGATTGATTCCACTTATTTGGAAATATTGGGGTCTATATTTAATATGAAAAAAGAATTTACCAAGAGTTGTAAATTGCAAAGAATCATTATAGAAATTTCAAATTTTAAGAAAACTTTTGACAATTTTAATAGTTAATGAAGAATTAGACCCACCACCTGACTTTGGTTTTTGAAACGAAAAGTTGTTTTTGCTTCTTTTTTTTTTTTTTTTGCCAAACCCCCGTCCCAAAAAAAAAAAAAAAAAGCTCGTCACTCGTGCTTTTTTTCATCAATTTAAAATAAATTGCACATAAAAAACTACTGATATTTTATGTCATAACTTGCTAAGTAAAACATAACAGAAACTAAAGAATAAAAAATGAAAAGAGACATCGGAAAAAATAAAAAATTGCTGTTGCGATCCTCCATAAGCATATGTATATATATATATAACCAAAGATGAACCTGAAAATTCACATTGCGGATCAGTAATGACACAAACCCGGCTCGAATTCAAAAACATGAAATACAGATATCTAAATGTATGCATTAAGTAGAGAATTTTTGTTCATGCATTTCTACACTTTTTTGTCAACTACATGAGCCCTCTCACAGCACAATATGCTAGTAGAGAATTTTTTGGCAGGGGTTGGGATGTTGCTTAAAATGTCAATTAACAATGGCAGCAAAAATTCTCCCCACAAAACTTCCCCAAGCCACCCAAAAATCCTGCCCTCGTCCCAACTAAAGAGACAACCTTCTGCTAACAGTAAGACTAAATTTTTACAAAAAAAAAAAAAAAAAGCAACTGTGGAGTAAAGTAAACTAAAAGATGTGGATTACCATCTCTAAATGCATCTATCCTCAGGCAAGCCAGAACGAGCACAAGGATACCCAACCTAACTTCATCCCTAGCAAATTTTAGTGCTCTTCATTTGGTATTGGTTCTTTGTTTGTCTCTGACCAAGTATTCCCCAAGTTCTCTTCACCCTCGATATTGAACTTTCCAACCTCGTTATTTTCAACATTCTCTTCAAGCTTAGACAGCTCAATCTCTGGCTCAGCTGGAATCTCTACATTTATATTCATAGATTCACCACCTACTCCGCCAATGGGAGATTCTTCCATGTCTAAATCCTTATATGCAGTTTTATCATCTTCAAAATCACTTCCATCAGAGCTGCTATCATTTTCTGGAGTTTGAGGAGAATCACCACCTTCAATTTCTTCAACCTTCATATGTGCTTCTGCCATTTCTACATCCGGTTTTGGAAATCGTTGCTGTAGGGGTAGTGCATCACTTATAACTTGGCCGGTCCTTAATCTTTCCCTGTAATCCTCCATCTCAATTCTATATCTTTCTTTATCTTTAAGAGCTTTCTCCTGATAAACCTGAACAATCACAAAAGCCCACGCAACCACTTACAAGTTAAAAAACAGACCATAAAAGAAAAATAAAGTTTCAAGGCATGTTCAATTCATGAATTACACAATATGGTATCGCTCTTACTGCTTTTTCTAATTCGGTTAACTTGTTCCATAATTCACCAATCATTCTACTGATTTCTCTGTCCTTTCCAGGGTGAAGTGGTTTAAGTCTTGCATGTTGCTCAGCAAAAAAGAAATTATATCCACTCCTGTTTGGTTTCGGATGAGCAGGATCCCTCCTTTTTATCTCAGATTTCTTCCTGCGCCTCCGCCGTTGCACAACCAATGAAGAAGGAGCGTTATCACTCTTGTTGGCAAATAAATTATATTGGAATGGCTCTTGGGGTGCTGCATCCTGTGGAGCTAGATAAAGGACACCTTTTAACTTCTCTGAGCCAATGGTGACAGTAACAAGATAGCCACTCTCAAATTTCCCATCAATGACCCCAATCACGGGAGCGCCTGCTGTTGATGCTGGCCTTACTGCCGTACCAACTAAAACACATTATTAAAATGCACCAAACCATGAAAATTTACAAAGATAGATCTGGTGATAGAAAGGTTAAAACCAAGTTATAAAAATATATAAACGATATCAAAGTATTAGAAGTTTGAATCTTTTTTAGCCAATTTTGAAGTATGAATCTTAAATAATTATTGATAACATATTTGGTGCACAAATAAAATTTTAACATAGCCAAAAACTACCCAAAGGAAAGCAAATTATCTACAAGATATTCTCTATAACTGTTACAAAGTAACCAATGAAGGCATTTCCAATCACTAGAATCAAAGGAGATAATTATTTCATGTAGAGAACGAATATATTAATTCAAATAAATCAATTAAGAAATTTAAAAATTCATTGGACTAAAAATTTGAATAATTTAAGTAAATTCTTGAAAAAAAATTGGTTTACTATATATTTAGTCAACTAAAGAACAGAAAGAGTGATTGCAGGTTGTTTGCAGACCAAAAGAGAAGAAGGGTGGAGGAAAGGAAATGGCTACCAACTTTACATGAGTAAATATAAAGACAATCTCATTAAGCACAGAAAATTTTGAAGGCACCTGCAGGAGACTCGGTGAGATTTACTCTTGGTTGCTGGACAGCAGCTGCATGAATTTCTAAGACTGGCTGCACCGCCCCTTGGGTAGGAATATGCGTAATGGGTGGGTTTCGAAAAGGATCTGCATAAATGAATAATCATATAATATTAGGAGCAACACTCTGAAATTTATTCAAGGAGAGTTGAGTTCTCAATTTGCCTACCAGAAGAAACGGGGATCCACCCATGAGCTTTAAAGAAGTAGATTTGTTCATAGTGATGAAGCAGAGAAACATAATACTTTCGCAGCACAAAAGATGCATTTGTAGCAGTGGAGGGAAAGTTGAAAATAGCAGTCACTTCCTTCCATCTCCGCTCTCGTATAATCTGCAAGCTCCATTTAACAAATGATTAATGACTATTAGAGTACATAGAACATCCCCAAATCAAAGTGAGCAAAATGATCATTAAACGTAATCATTAGGTTCACATGATATGTTCCGCACATTACGATCTGTTATATAGAACACAATCCAGCACATTTCCGGCTAAACTGGTTTCTATGTAAAGATAGATAACATTGATACTATTAACAAATGATTTCTAAATAAGGCTATAACAAACTTAACTCAGTCCAGACTAAACATTTATAAAGAATGGACCGGATGTGAACAAATAGTAGTAACAAGCTACAAATTTTCTATTTTTAACTAAAACAAGTTTAAATAATTACAATAATCAGCACCAACATGCATTCTGAACAAAGTTATCAAGCAGAATCTTGATTAGAATCAAGGATAGATGCTCTGCCACCGGATGACATCCAAACACAACTCCTCATCCAGAGATAAATTTCAAGTTCCTAGTCCCTACTGGTATCCTGAGAATTTCTTAAGGAAGATTGTACAATTTAAACTAGACATATTTGTGGCCCTCAATTTCAAATCTGACAACATATAAAAATAGGAGATATCTAGAGACAGCTCTGCAATTTCTGCTCATTTGTCCGCCATTTCATATAAAGAATAATGTAAGTCCACAAGCTTGTTGAAAGAATATCAAGTATGAATGGAAACAGGCATAACGTGCATGGCCACATTGAACGTTATATGGAATTCATTAACCGTGTGAGGCTTCCAATGACACTACTTGAGGGGCAAGAAACTTGGACAATCAGGTGTATAAAGTTTAACCTTACCTTCTCAATGCCACCACGAGATGTTACCTCCACAAAAAGTCTGTGTAAATCTAACTCCTTTCCTCCTATGATGGGAATCCTAAATCAGAGTTGAAGAGACAAAAGAAATTTTCAAAATTTAGGTTGACAAGTACAATTACAGAACATATGATTGAAAAAGGATAATTCTACCACTATGACTCAAAGACACAAGCGTAGTTCCACTTTGTTCATGCCAGCGTCAAATCACAGCGATAAACTTCTGGCCTAAAACTGCCAATAAGTATCCTCCACTCGAAATATATACAGTAAAAAAAAACAATACATGGTAAATATATACAAATGGAGGTAATTTTCCTCCACTACTATAATCAATTTCAATGAACACTTTCAAGAACCAAATAAAACCAAATGCAGGTCTGAAAAGGCAGGAAAAATTAAGTGTCTAACTATAATTTTGCATATGATTCACAAAAACAGCATAAACTTAAATTGCAATTCAAAGAATGTAGCAAGTACTACCCTTTTATTGCGATAATTATTACACAGCTGTCCAGCTAAGAACTTTGTGAGGCAAGGATGCTGCTAAATCAAATCTAGGATATGTATGTGCTCAAGTAACCTGTTTTTATTGCTATAATTATTACACAGTTGACCAGCTAAGAACTTTGTGAGGAATAATATAAGATCATCATCAGTTATGGAACAGGCCATATCTTTCCGATCGTTATTCTAACAAATAGGTTAGACAATCTCCAACCAGAAGTATAAATGGTAGTATGTAACTGCTAAATAGAGCAAATAGTCTATATGCAACAATTACAAATTGAAAACATAATATACTGTAAAATATTTATGGATCTCAATTCTAACACAACCAAGTTAAGAACTCAATCAAGAATATGAGAAAAGAACCATAGTACAAACGTAATACTATAAATAACAGGAAACAAATGTATCTAGAATCTGGATAGTAGCATCAGGCATAAGTATTACATATGCATGTTGACATATATGGACATAAAAATGTTATTTCGAAGTCAACCAAGCCTGAGAAAAAAAAAAAAAAAAACTACACTACTATCTAAACTTAGGGAATCAAAATATCAAAAAAACAATTTAGGGATCAAAGAAGAAAATTTACATGAACTTGGTTCCCATAGTAGCATGGAGCTTCTCCAAAGTAGCCAAGAAAAGTTTTGGACTACCTGCAACATCTTCATATCTTGCAAGAGGTGGGGGATATGGATTATAGTTAGAAACTGGTTCTTTGACAGGCAATAGTGTCTGCTTGGCGAAAGAAGTTGATGCCATAGACAATTCCTTCTCAATATTCCACCTTTGACCAATCCTTCACTGTTAAACAACCAAAAAATCAACATTAACTGTCTTTTTTACTGCTTTATGGACTTAAATGCAAGTGAAAAAAGAGTGACATGCACATAGGAAAGAGCTGAAAATCTAAAAACAAACAGCATGCAGAAAAAGTAGAAATGAAATCAGGGCAAAAAAAACCCACCTAACAAAAAAATTCATGCAAAACAAGGAGAAAGCCAAAGGGTGAAGAGAACTAGACAATCCAAAAGAAAAGGTAAAGAAAGGGAATATATTGAAAGAGAAGTAAACAAGTAGCATCAATTAACAACAGTAACAGATAATAATAAATAAAACTCATTAAATAATTAAATATTCACCAAGGCATATCAATATAATATCAGAACTGAAACATAACAATGAAAAAAAAAAAAAAGGAACACCAACACCAGCACGTAGCAGCACCTTGATGAGAACATCAACAACCTCAGTTGATGCAATAACTCCCAGTAACAATGGAGAGACTCCAAGTCCAAGAAAAGCAAAAGGTACAGCATAGCTGTCACAGCCATGAATTTCCTTTCAGAGTACCAAGGATTGAATGAACAGCACAGTAAAGAAATAACCTATCACCAAAAGTTCCAGGGCGTTTTTCCATGCGATCTACAGTCTAAAAGGCAGACACCCTTTTAGACTACCCAAGCAATAAAGCCCCAAAGAACCTCAAAAAAGTTTTTTTTTTTCTCTCTTTTTCTTATCAGGACCCTAGAGTTTACAGGCCTATATTAGGCTATAACCTTTGCCCCTGACATTCTAAAGATATGCTCATATCTAATGGGAACTTACATATATATATATATAAATATGCATGCATCTCTTTACCAATGCATCTCTATCTCTGACACTCTTTCAGGCCAAAGGATTAAACTTTTACAAGATACCCATCGTGGGGTTCTACGGGGTACTAATGCCATGGTACCCTTTCCATCAATATTGAACAAAAATAACATGGCTTGAAACTTCAAAAAAAAAAAGAAAAAACAAAACAAAATCTCACCTTTGCTTAAAAAACCCATTCAAGCATTGACCTTGAATTTTCAAATCAAAGAATAAAAAAACTCTTTTAGTTCCTGATTTCCGTCAAGGAGGACAAAGTACAGTATTAAAAATGAAAAATGCAAAGCACTGTTTCATTATTTTATTTTTTTATTATGTTTGTTTATGTTTTCATATTGTTTATTTAATATTTCTAAATAAACAAAGAATAAAGAATAGAGAAATCCCAGATGAAGAAATAACAGATGACAGAGTTTAAAAAAAATAATCAAAATAATTAAAAAAGGAACTTACCTAGAAATTAGAGAGAAAGTGGAAAATGCAAAATGAAATGACATTAAGGAAGAAGCTTAAGACTATAACCTTTATTTCAATAATTCAATCTAAAAATAAGGGTAATTATTACTGTTATCTTTTCCTAAATTATGTTTTTTAAAAATATAATATCTGAATTTTGATATAATATATATCAAAATTTAGATTTTTTTTTCTTTTTTGAACGGGGGTGATAATGGTGAGAAAAAAAAAAAAACCTAACCCTATCTCAATTGTCAAAAGACAAAATACACCCTCAGTTTGCTCCCTCTTGAGTTATTCATCCAAGGGTAGTTTTGGGTTTTAATTTTATTTTTATTATAAAAAGAAACACTATAATAATATTCATATATTAAAAATAGTTATTATTTGCAAATTATTAAACATATAAATAAATATTTAAAAAAGAAGATTTTTTATAAGGGATTGAGAGTTAAAAACTTAAAAATCAAATTTTAAAACTTAAAAAATTAAAAACGATAATTCCTCCTTTGACCAAAAGAATAGAAAAGAGAAATAAAAGCAAACCATGAAGAAATAAGAGGGGATTAAAGGGGGGAGAGAAATGCCTAAATGAGTGCCGTAACAGCAGCTCTTTGGCATTTAATAGAGCTATTAATATTAAACATAGTTTTTAGAATAAGTCCTCTCCTAACTTTCTCTCCCTCCAAAGGCTCTTCAATAACTCTCTTCACATAGAATCATTAAATGGTCTTTTCTAACTAATTACCACCACCAACCAAACTCTTTTTTAGGACAATTAAATTTTGATATTTTTTTCCAAATTGGTTCATGGGAAAGTAGGATGACAACGAATCGCGATAGGTTTTTGTTAATTTAACTAGATTTTTAAACCATTCTATTTGATTTCAATTTTATTCAACATTAAATTATTATTTTTATATTTAATTATAACATGATACGTGTATATATATGTTTGAATTAAAATTAATTTAATAATGTTAATTTAATAAAATATTTACAATATTATTATTTTTAATATAAATTATATTTTAATTATGCATAAATCTAATATTTTCGTAGCTAAAATATAAAAAAAAAATTGAATATTTAAAAATTTTAACTAAACTCTTATACTATTATTGCATATAAATAGATCAATCAATTCTTATTCTCATACAACCTAAACCCTTTTAGGATATGGGGACACAATGATATGGCAAAAACTGCACATGTGAACACAATGATTTACACGTGACAAATAAATGTGTAAATATATAAATAATGGTTTAACAAAAAATTTAGTAATAGATACCATGACAAAAATAATTATTAGAAAAAAATAGTAACATATAAAATTAATCAAAAAATAACTTTTATGACCTTAATATTTGTGAGTGTTAGCTTAAGATTACAAGTGATTGTCATATGTGTAGACACCATTTGTCAGATCTCTTCTCATTTTAATAATAATAATAATAATAATAATAATAATAATAATAATATATTATTATTATTATTATTATTATTATTATTATTATTATTATATTTTCATTTCTTTTGACACATTTTTTATTTTTTTTCTTTTCTTCTTTGACATTTTTTCTTCATCCTATACACAAAATCACAATGCATTTAATGTACCAAAAATTTGTCTGCCTAACTTGGGAGCATAAAATTCGATGACCAAAAGTCACCGGACAAATCTTTATTTTCTCCACAATGAATCTCACAAAAGTCCCAGACAACTTGAGATTTGATCATCAAATAGCTCTATAAATAGAGCCAATCTCTATAAGCAAAAAACAACACAAACATAGAGGGGTTGGGCTACGAAGGGTTTTTGCAACAAGAAAAAAAGAAATATTCACAAGCACAAAAAACAAAAAAAGAGACCACGTCCTTTGTGAATAGAAGAACCCACAAAAAAAAAGAAAAAACAAAACTATAAGTTTTAATCCGGGCATTTCTAGATTCTTTTCATAAAACTAATTTGAGAAAAGTTGTTGAGAAGGTCAACGGGGTTTTATTAAGAATTTTTGGGATATTTTAAATGTTTATAGGTTGATTGAAATTTGAAAAAGATAATTTTTTTTACAACCGTTTGGTTTTTGTGGTCACTAGAATATGAGAAATAGGTCAAAATCTGGGGAGAGTTTGATTATTTCGGTATCAGTCGAATTTTTCAATGTGGTACGATAGAGGCTAGCCAAAATCTGGATTGCCATGGCGACCGGTGGAGGAGATTTGAGTTTTAGAGAAAAGCTCTAAAGGGTAGAGAGATGGAAGAAAAAAATAAAAAAAAAATAGTAAGGCCTATTTATAGGCTTTAAAATAGCATCGTTTTGAGGCCTTGGATCCACGCCCGACCCATGGAAAATCGACGCACGACCTGCCAAGTGACCTGACTCAATTGGCGGGTTTTGCCTTTTCTTTTTCTTTTTATTTTCTGTTTTGATTTTGATCTTGATTTATTTTGTTTTGATTTTTATTTATATATATATATTTGGATATTGTTGTTGTTATTATTATTATTATTATTTTATGTTATTATTAATATTTATTATTTTGGAAATAAGTAAAATAAATAAATTAAAATAAAATGTAGATTTGGCAAAATAAAAAAATAATATGCATAAATCTTTAAAAAATCCTTTAAAAAATAACTATTTAAGAAAAATTAAAATTTTGTTGCAAGCAAAATATTATTTAAATTTCATCAAAGTGTTGAGATAATTTAAAAAATAATTTTTGCTAGAAAATAATAAAAAGATAAAAAAATAAATATAAAACTTAATGAATTGTTTAAGTTATTTTTTTAAATGTAATTTGTAGAGCATTGAAAGAGTTTGATTTCTTTAATTATTGCAAGTAAAAAATAAATTTTAGGATTTTTTCATAGAGTTAGGATAATATAAAATTATTTTTACTAGAATAAAGATTTATTTAAACAATATTAAAATAGTAAATAATAAAAATAAATCAAAGTATTTTTTAAAATAAATCTCCTAATTACTACAAAAAATATTTTTGGATTTCACCAAAGAATTGAGATAATCCAAAACGAAAAAAAAAAGAATTTCTTTAACTAAATAAATTATTCATTTAAATAATAAAAAACCATAAATAATAACAAAAAATTAAAATAATCTCAATAAAAATTAATTTTAATTAAATCTTTTAATTATTATCAATAAAAAATAATTTTATTTAGGATCTCGTTAGAAAGTTGAGATGATCCTAAAATTTATTTAAAATTTTTAAGATTTTACTAAAGAGCCGAGATAATCATAAAATCTGTTTAATAAATTTTATGATCTCACCAAAAAATCGGGATATTTCTAAAATCATTTTAATAAACAAATAAATAAAATGTTTTATGACAAAATTTCAAGAATTTTATGAATGGTCAATCTTCTCGAAATATTTTCTAAATAATGATTTTTTATAAATTTCGTCAAAACATTAGAGAATTTATAGAATATGAAGTAATAATAATAATAATTAATATTATTATTATTATTATTATTATTATTATTATTATTAGTTTCATAACAAAAAATATTTTTCATAAATAAATTGTAGGAAATTAAATTTGAATATAAAAATGACACATCATCGAGATTAAAATATTACATATGTTTAATTGGTACTACTCATCGAACAGACGATGTG